ATTCAAGTTTTGGCATTTTGTATAATGTATAATTGGATGACATTTTAAACTTAAACTTTAAACTATACAACCGTATCCACAGATTATAACAATGTCTGCATCATGATATACAGTAATAAGGCACTTTCATTAAATATCCCCCAACAAACACTATAAATAAGAAGTAGTCTTATTTAAACTCTTAAAAATGTCACCACACACACACACACACACACACACACACACACACACACACACACACACACACACACACACACACACACACACACACACACACACTTACTAACACTGTTCTTTCTTTCTTTCTTTCTTGGTGGGCAGTGCTGTGTGGTCTTAGTGACATCCGCCAGTTGGCTTATTACCCCCCTGTCAGGCTTAGCAACACACACATCCCTCCCATACTTAGTGTCATGATTCTGCACCTCAAGTGTTTGCTTTCAAATGAACAAGACTGGACAGCACTACTGTTATAGTACCAAACACTGTAAGGTTAAATGTTATATTTAGCCATGAGATGTAGCAGCATGTATTTTACAGTAATGGTTATCATACACTTAGACATTCAAATGCTACAAAGCACAGGTGTTGGTACACTGCAGTCCAGACTAGACTCCCATGGAGCGGTGTCACTGGAGTGCTGTACAGACTACACAAATAGTACAATAGTCACTTCACTGCTGTCTAGCCTACACCCACAGGACAACTGCTACTACATTTCACTCACCCAATGTTCTCCTCTCAGACTCTTCAGAGGACACTCTGACTGGACCAATTAATTGTGGGATTGAATCGGTAGCACAGATAGATGAGCACATTTCTGGCTATAGCAGCTTTTCTACTGTCACTGAGTGATGTTTTAACTGACCTGGTAGCGTGTGGCTCTTCACAACTATTCTGCATGCTTTTAGCTCATGTCACCTGTTTGTGTTTTCACGCCTAATCTGATTTCCAACTGAGAATCACAGCTTTGAACAACCTTATAAACACTTTTCAGCTGTCCTGTTTTTTTTCTTCATTTTTGTTTAGAAAGCAATAAACTAAGATATGAAAGACTAGCACAAATGAAAAGAATATGGGAGTGGTTGTGTCAAGTTCCACAGAAGTTAAGAAAATGAGTGCCTGATTCAATTTCTTTACTCTAGTAGCATTGTGTTGTGTTGTAAGATATTTTTGAGTAAAATCATATTTATCATTTACTTTTCTTTTGCCTCTAGCCTTGTTTCCTATTAAATCTGTGCAATACCACTCTGAAGAAAAACTTTCCCTCAGTAACAGTGAAATGTTTTGTAATGAATGGCATTTAAAATGAATGAAGCCTTTCCATTGAATCCACCAGTGCTCTAAAATGCACAGTGGCAGCATCAAAGCTTCTTAACCTTCACTGTTGCCACAGAGCAGCACTCCCATCAAACCTTTCCAGCATTCCTCTCTAATGTTGTTCTGGTTGATCACAGTCAGCCGCTAAGAGGAGAGCTCTGGCTGCTGAAGTGGGCTGTGTTGTTACTTACAATGTTGTATTAAAACACTAGGGCTGTGGTTGTGGCACTAAGCTGTTAGTGTAGGGGAGAAAAAGTGAGATTTTAAAGGAAAAGACACAAGAGAATAAAAGAGGAAGCGAGTGAATGAGGGATAACGGAGAGCAATGACAGAGAGGTGGAGACGCTGATGGGAGAGATGGAGAGAGAATTGATAAGGAGAGAATGACAGGATTTGAGTTAAAAGATGGAGGGGTGGTGGGGTGAGGTGAGGTGAGGTGAGGTGCGGTGATGGAGAGGTGGTGAGAGAGGAGGTTAGGAGGAAGAACAATGAGAGATGTCACATGTCTTTTATGTTGAGAGGGCTGAAGGAGAGGCTGACATGGAAACACAAATAGCCAGCTACAGCCATGCCTGTGTATGTGTTTTCAGGTGTGTACTTGTGTGAAGTGTGTCTCCCTTAACACGTGAATGAATCCCCATGCAATGTAAATTCAGGTTTTTTTTTTATGTGCATGAAAATACATTCTTTGCTGTCTGTCCATGAGAGAAATATGACAAAAAGAAGAGCAAAATACTCAACGGACATGTGCTTGACAGCCAGAGAGAGAGAGAGGACAAAATAGCACTCGACAAGGACGAGAGAGATAGAGAGCAAATATATACAGAGCGAGTGAGCCAAGCGCGAGATGGCATGAGAGAGAGAGCATGAAAAGGAGGCAGAACATAAAGAAAGATGATTGATAGAAATGACTAAAAGGAGAAAGCATGAGAGAGTAGAAAAGAGACAGGAGTGTACTGTAAAGGACAGGGGTTAAAATGATACAGCAGGAGGATGAAAACGAGGTGAGATAAAAGAGAGGGAGTTATAAAGAGAGGAGAGAGGGAAAGAACATGTAAAAAAGAAAAAAAAGAATAGTTAGACAGACAGAAAAGGCGTTGAATAGAAAGAATCCACAAGAGGGAGAAAGGGACAGGACAAGAGGGTGAGGAGAGAGGAGTAAGGATTACAGGGATGTAGGGATATTTGGATGTCAGGAACAGAGTCTTTATGTGAAAGACGAGGTTTAGTTTGTGAAGTAGGTGTGTTCTTATTTCCTTTTGTTGTTACAGTGGTTTTGACCAATCTAAATTCAAGTGGACTTTGGTTACAGACGATCAGTCCTTGAGTTGAACAAAATCGTGATCATTCCATCCACCCAAACCTCTTACCAAAGACATTTTGACATTTTAGATAGAATGATATCGCTCTACATATGACTTTGACCCCAACAAACAAGTATAATGACAAAGTACAAGTACTTTATTTATGTCAAATTAAAAATCTGAATTCAACTCCATGAGGTCAATGTGATAAATGACACAAAGTGTAAAGAAACTTTTTTTGTTTATAAATCTCATAAAACCCAGAATTCAACTCACTTTCTTTAATGATATGTACTTGTGGAAGAACGAGGACATTGTCACTGAAGCAGCAAAATGTGTGGGATCATGGCACAGCCTCAGGGAGGATCAGGGAAACAACACATGGAAATGTTCTGAACTCCTCGTTCTTTCATCCTCTTTTGTTTTGTTTTTATTCGATCTCTTTTTTCTTGTTTTTATCCCCATCTATGCATCATCATTGTTCTATAAGGTTTTTATACTAAGCCTTATAGTATATTATGTGTCTATTACATGTAGACATAATAACGTTGATGGACAGTGTGAAGAATTGTTTATTATTTGTGTAGTGCATATGGTGTTGTATGTGTAAACTTGATACATTCATGGACAGAGACAGACGGACAAAGATAGAGGGAGTCAATTGAGAAGGAAATAGAGAGATAGGGTGAAATGGAGAGGGAGAGAATGTCTGACTGCTGGAAAAAGGAGAAAAAAAAACAGAAGGAGGAGTGATAGAAACAACGGACTGACAGCCTCTAAATGATAGAGATAGGAGAGAAAGAGGGATTGAATGAGGCGGGGAATAACTGAAAAAGAGAAGAGAGAGTAATGGAGTGAAAATGAGCAGGAGAATACAGAGAGGAAGAGAGAGGGGGGGGGGAGCAGTGTCTCGCTCTCATCAGTCAGAGTGTTGCTCATCCGATGGCAGACGCTGCCTTTGTCACTGTGACGGATCCTCGCTGTCTGTACACCGCTCGCCTCCAACGCCATTACAGCACATTACTGATGTACACACACATAAACAAAAAAACACAAAGTAGGAGGAACAACACGTTAAGTAAGCACACACACACACACACACACACACACACACACACAGAAGTGCTTGCTCAAGGTTTTTAGGAAGGTGTATTCTACTCGTGTCAGCTTTACAAGACACGTAATACAAGCAAATATGTCAGATAGCAGCTCGACATCCATGACATAGAAACTGATTATTTGATTTGATTTGTTACTAGAGCAAGGGCTGTACCTGATGATCTCTAAATATTTTAATAGTCGTTTTCCTTCAGCCATCAACACATATGTACAGTAACCTTTCATATACTGCTATAGAACATCTCATGGTGTACTAAAACATGCTCATCATTCTTTCTGTGTCTTTACTGACAGTTTAAAACTTCAAAATATTTACCTACAGCATAAAATGCTGAAAATATTCAAATTGAAAGTCGGTGCGGCGTGTACTTTCTGCAGGATGAATTATACCTAATAGTAATATAATAGCATCCTTGAGTTCCTCTTTACATCCCTTTACTGAGGTTAAAAAGTGAGATTGCTGGAGATGTGAATGTATATCTATAGTATGCCTGGTATCACCTTGATATTGTTTCACAATAGGTAAAAGATGTGTGTGTCCAGTAAAAGGCGAAGTTCCTGCTGCTATAAGAAATGATTTATGCTCTCTATAAAGCAAGAAGCGGTGGAATTTTTCAACCTGTCATATTGTTCGGTGGATGATTTTCCTTAAACATATGTTCAGTTGTTCTTCAGGTCAGCCTTTAAACAATGCTCACTATATTGGTTTGTGTAAAAATAGTTGGCTTTGAAGAGACCTGATTCTTGGGCGAAAGACTTAAAAAATATGAACCGGTCGGTAAGGAACGAGGCTAATCGGTACAGATTACACCTGGCTAACGTCTGATTACAATGCAAGCCCAACCATCTAAAGGTTTGTGTTCAGGCCTATTTGATAGCATTTGGATTGCAATGAGTTGTGCCCACAATTACGTCTTACATTACCATCTGTTTTTCTGTGCATCTACAGACTCCTTGCCACCCTACATGAAGACACACACACACACACACATGGTTGCACACAGCCATGCAGAGAAACATAACTTTGGACAACACATATGCAGTACACACACCCATGCACACACTCTTTCCCATCATGTCACTCTCTCTTTTCTGGCTTTCATTAAAACCACAAAAAACACACTGACTAACAGCAGCATATGCAGGGCCGCTGAGCAACAGATGTTGAATGGGTGATATTCTGACAGACTGAATGCTAATGTGTGTTGTGTATAAAATGCTAACAAAGCTCTGTCACTTGTGTTTGTCTCCACAGTACTATGAGATGTCCTACGGTCTCAACATTGAGATGCACAAACAGGTAAGACACACTGTGCTCAGTCATTTGTTAAAATCCTCCTTTGGAGCTTCTACACAATTCTTGCCGTGTGGAAGTTGTATTTACTGAGTAGGTGGGGTGAGTGTGTGATTTAACACACACACAAACATAGTATAGCAGTGTCATTTTGTGTGGGTGGATTTGTACTACATTTCCTTATTCCTGTCCTCCTTTGGTTTTTACACCAAGTGACTTCCATCTGTGTAATGAGTTGAACAAATAATTAGACACACATTTCAAAACATTTCTTCCCAATAGAACATATCTCTGCAAGGTAGCTTATACTTATACTTTCAAGTGTAATACAACCTAATTTTCAAATGACTTTTCATCACCACCATGTACATGTAGCTTGTATTCAGTATCACTTCTATTCACATTCATTATCTGTTGCAATTTATGTTTTTTCCACCACTCATACTATTGTCAAAGTTTGACTGCTTTATAACTCCTATTTAGCACTTCTATTGTTCATTTCAGGTCATGCTTCTTTCAATTTAACCCTTAATATGTTTTAATTCACTTTTAATCCAATCTTTTCTGATTTCATTTTATACATCAGGCGTTATTTGGTATCGTACTGTATCCGACTTAACTTATGTCTGTGTTTCTCTGGCCCATCAGTTTGTAATGTGTTTGTAAAGATAATGCTCAGTCTTTCTAACCAAAGATTTTCAGGCAATGACTGTATAAAAAGTGACTCAAAATAGTTAAAAAAGTAGGACTAAATACAGGGTCGTGGGTATAATTACGTTTGGAAAAAGATTTATAATGAGTCAGCAAGAGCGATAAGTGGGTCCAACACAGATCACTGCACGGCGGCTTCCATTAGTTTTATAAAGTGTCACTGCATGAGACTGCTCTGCACTGCTTACCTCTGTATTCATGGTGTGGAATAGAAATGCAGGTACTGATGCATGAATCAAAGAGTTAGCGATAAGCAGCAGTGTGTAGTTTTTGCACAATAATGATATCCCCTAGTTTGACTTAATGTGTGTGGTGTGCACAATCTGCTTCTTGGTTATCATCAAGCAAAACAAGTGATGTGGTTGTGAGTGGGAGGGTGTACCCATTACTAATGTGAAAATGATGAGAGAACTATAGGGAATAATAAGACTATGAAACTCTCTGGCAGAGGTGGTAACCATAGCAATGGCTAATGTACAGTATGTTTTACATAACTTGTGGCGACAGACTGAGGTTAACTGACGCTAGATGTCAACGTGGCTCAGCTGTGATTTAACGCACAGTGAGGCAAGGAGTAGTGTTTGAAATGATCCATCGATTCTTTGAATAAATGCATGGACCAAATATAACAGGTAGACTGTGCAGACACAGGTCAGTTAGTGATGAATCATTTCCATTTCTCTGAGATGTGTTGTTCTTGGATGAAGACATGTGTCTGATTAGCAGTGTGTGTTCTCAGGAGCCTTTGACTGCTTGTCAGTTCACACACTTGCTTCACAGTGCAGAAAGGGAAGGAGTCAATTCAGGAGATGAATTCACAGGCAAATTTAATAGATGTAGAAAAAAAGACTGGCATTAGATAAGATCTTCTGTGTTGATAGAGCTCCATGCAGGTAGGCAGAATAATTATCCTGTTGATCTGGCATCCTCCCTTAAGAGGACTACCTGTAACCCATCCTCTCTCTAAATCCACCGATCATTCTTATTCACTCTCTCTATGTTAGACTCTGAATCCCCTCCCGTTACGAAAGACCAGAGGGGACCTTTTTTTTTTTTCTTACAGTAATACTCTGAGCTTTCGGTTATAGTTAGAGCCAATTGTTTGAAAAAAATATGCTTTGAACTAAAGGTTGTACACTTTCCCCTCATTATTGTTGTGTAATTTTTATATGCAAGGTAATTAAAGCACAGATGTATCAAGAAAGGAGTTTCTGAGCTTTATGTTCCTGTGTGTGTAAAAACTTAGAGTGAAGGCATAATGGAGTTCAAATTTAAATTGATTGATTAATTTCAGCTGTATGAAATCCCAATCAAGCTCTTTTGTTTATAATATTGTCCTGATTCCAGGTGAAGCTGCTGTTATAGATGCCTTATTAGTTATAAATGAAGCTACCTTATCTCACAGTGTGTCCGCTGTGAAACAACCGGAGCACATATAAGCAGAAGAGAGTTTCACTCACACTCACTTACTATGAGAATTTTGAGTCTCAGTAAACATCATACAGCGAGAGATCACCTTGATACATTGTTACTGTGTATATAAGCATGTATTGCCTCACTTTTTTTTTCTCCAATGTGAAATCCCTCTTGCTCCTTTGGATAGGCTAAGTGTTGTTTTCCAGGTACTGTTAGAAATACCTTTTTACAGCACTTTCTGTTTAAGCCCTGCAACCTTGAAAGACAAATATCAGACAAAATGGGAGACTGTGGGAAATAAAGGAGAGTAAAATAGACGGCACTTGAAAACTGTTTTTCAAGTTATTTAAGTACTCCCTTTTTTAAATATTTACTGAGCTAAACCACTAAACGCAAAATGAAGAGAAAGTTCTACTTTAGTAACAAAAATTGATACTATTACCAAACTTTGTAGACACAAGAGACGACTAGAGTTCAAGAGTGAAGGAAGGAGTGACTAATGGAGAGAAAAACAGAGAGACTAAGAGACAGCGAGAGAGAGAGAGAGAGAGATGGCTGGCAGCAAAGTGCCAAACTGGCCTGTCAGCTCCTGTCGCCAAGAAGAAGAAATGGACTGGGGCTCTGGCTGCACCTCTGAGAGACGGACAGGGGAGGAGGAGGAGGGGAAGAGGGGGATAGGTTGGGAAGATGACAGAGGGAGTGTGGGGAGAAGATGATGGTGGTGAGGATGACAGAAGGAAACCAGAGAACTACAGTCACAAGATAGAGAGTAAAAAAAAAAAAAAAAGCAGAAATAAATGAAGAGAGTGTGTGAGAGGTGAGCTGTTTCCTCTGAATATAACACAGAGAGAAGAAAGAGGAAAATATTTATGTTAGAGCATATGTGAGAAAAAGTGATTCAGAGAGGAAAAATAGGAGAGCAGTAGAAAAGGTTCCAGCAGAGGTGGTAAGAGACACATATGAGGCAGATCGTAGAAGAGAACTTACAGCATTAAAGAGAAGCAAAGAAATGGAGCGTCGGAAATGAACAGAAATAGAATAAAAAGACGGATGTGCATGATTGAATATAAAATGGAGAAACTGGTATGAAAAAGCGTATCAAAAGGCTGCAGTGATGGAAGAAAGAGATAGGATCAGGAATTTGATGAAAGAAAAAAAAGTGGACAAGGATAAAGCACAAAGGGAGAGGTTGTAGAATAGAGGGTCTTTTGAGAAGAGAGGGGACGGAGGAGTGAGAGGGATAGTTTGAAAAAAGTAAGAGCGCGATAATTTAGCAAAGAGAGGACTTTGATGATATGAGAGATTGCAAGAAAAAGACAGAGCGTGGTAGGCAGTTTATAGAGATAAATAAATGGGAAAGAAAAGTTAGCATAGAGAGCTAATGCTGAAAAAAGGCAGAATCAAGAGTAAAAAAAAAAAGGAGGGAGAGAGATTAATTGAGTGGATGAAAGAGGAGAGGGTAAACAGGAGGGATGAAGCCTTTAGAAGAGACAGATAAAGACCTCAGAGAGGGGGGAGAAAAAAAGAGATGAAAATTAAAGCAAGAAAAGAAAAAGCAGTGGAGGGAAAAGGAATGAAAACGGGGAGGGGGGGAAGAGAGAGTGAGAGAGAGAGAGAGAGAGACATCAAGAGAGGGAGGGGAGCTTTGGGCCCTAGTGAGAAATAATGAATCATGAATAGATTAAACAGTATCTGCTCTTATTTCCTCTCCTCCTACTCCTCTTCTTTCTCACCCCCAGCTTCCTAACATCCTGTCAAGATCACAGCTATCCCCCCCCCCCCCCCCCTTCCTTCATTCTCTCTCTCTCTCTGTCATTATCAGCGGCAGAGCCATCTCATGTCCCGGCATTAATTGAGCTGCAACAGTCAATCCGTGCCTCCCTAACCTACCTTTTAGCCTCTTTAGCTTTTTATCCCCGTCTCTCTCCCCTCTCTCTCTCTTTATATTTCCTTCTTCCTCGTTATCGTCACCCCTTCGCTCACCCCGCTTTCACTCTCTCGATCCCCCTCATTTCCTCCCTACTTCTACCCCTTCTTCTCTTAGATAATTCTATCCGAACCATATGAAAAGATAACATCTTTCCCCCCATCTTTAAGCTGCGTGGATACATTCATGCTCACACACACAGGCGCATACACGTCGTCACATTATCTCTCTTGGTTCCCTTCCATTATCACATCATATCATATATACATATATACTAGCTGTGTCCCCCGAGGTGCAAGGCAGACTATAAGGACTTTATGCTGCTCTCTGTGGTTGTTCTCTATTCATTGATATGGCACTTCTGGGGCCTCGATATTACTGCCTGTGTCCCCCGCTATGGGCTGACGCACAACATGTATATTCAGTGATTTTGTAATTTGGTCATATACCACAGACTCCACAGTGGTTGACACAGCGTGGCTTACAGATATGATGATGTGTTGTCAGGTGTGTGAGTGCATGAAGCCGGTTTTGTATTGACAAGCGATTCTGGCATCAGGATAAGAGTGAGATGGCAGGAGGTGAAGAAGAATAGAAGCTTTGTTGGACTTGCATTCAGGGAGAACATGTGACCACACCATAGCCAGCAAATTATGTAAATAAAGAAGGCGGGAAGCAAATCAGCTCTTTAGCAGCTAACATCACAGGTCTGTTAAGCAACACACAGAGCCCATATGTACTTCCTGAGTAAGATGGTAATCACATAGCTGAACTTTAATTTCTTTGATCATGCTTTTTTTTGGTGTTTTTCAGGACCAAAACCTTGATATGCATAAAGTTATTTTGTTGGGAAAAAACAAACTTGACAAAAATGGAAGTCAGACATAATTAAGTATAAAGTATAATAAGACCAGATCCATAATATGGTCAACTCATACCATATATAAAACAT